CCTTCTCAAGCTTGAACTTCTTCTATGGCTAGGGTTTTCATTTTATTTTGCAAATTTTTTTGTTTATTTAATTTTGAAGAATTGTTGGAACTTTTTATTTGTTTTTCTCATGGGTTATATGGATGGGTTTGGGTTAGATCTGACTTGGATTGGGTATGGGTCAATTAAATTGCTTAGTAAATAAACGAGTCAATGTGAGTTAAATGGGTGAATAGATTTGGGCCAGACCCATTTATGACCCATCCAGACTCGACCCGACTCACTCATTTGCCATCTCTAGTCATGGCCATGAATCTTCATCGCCAATATGAAGGGAAGCCGACTTTTCTTCATATTTTTTTCAACGGGAGGGGAATCATCCACCAATTAAATGCCTTTCCCCATCTTTTTTAACCCCCCCCACCAATTAAATTCCGGTCCCCAAAAATTGTCGACACTGACGTAGACAATTTTTGGAAATTTTTTATAGATTTTCTGAAATTTTCTTTTCCTTCTTCTTTTTTTCGTTGTTTTTCCTTTCTTTCTTTCTTTTTTTCCATTTTCTTTTTGCCGATAGTTGATCGTCGACTACTGATCATAGGCGATGGCTAGTAAGGGTCGGCCTCGCTTAGGTGAGGGCAACCACTGGCGAAGGCCCCCTTCACCAGATCTGGCGAAGCCTACCCTCCCCCTCATCCACGCGAGGCCCGGCAAGGTCGCCCTGGCTTGGGAGAGGGTCGGCCTTGCCAAATCTGACGAGGGGGCCCTCACCAATGCTCGCCCTTGCATAGGCAAGGTTAGCCATCACATGTGACCTTGTCATGTGGACTTGCCTGGGCGAAAAAAAGGTAAAAATAAAGAAAAAATTTAAAAATGATTAAAAAATTCAGAAAAAAATGTCCATATTAGAGCCGGCCATGCTACATAGGACGATCGGCGTCCACGTCAGCGATTTTCGGCCAAAATTGGCCAGATGAACTGTATTAGCAAATCGTCAAAAGGTTTAGAATTAAATTGGTCAAATTGAAAAATTTATGATTGAATTAATACAAATACAAATAGGTTTAGAACTTTGTTGGTAACTTCCTCGATGTGTCCCAATAACTTAGTGGAAGAATGGATAAGAATGACTACTTGCTTTAATTTTGTCGCTTCAGCATAACTAAAAATCTAAGAAGGATTAAGCTTAGGTTATTCTTTAAAACAAATCTCCCCCCGTGGTGCGCATGAAAGGGTCCCAACCTACCCCGAGACGGACGAAGCTAATAAACAGTTCCTTGTCTTCACAAAAAGACAATTGTTAGCCTCAATTCTTGCTTTAAAAATATTGTCCAATGCTTATCTAGATAGTAATTAGATAATGACCATAATGGTTATCAATAGTCAAGGCTACAAAAATTTGACAAAAAATGTGAAATGCTTTCTAAATATCCTGCAACCCAAGTCAGTGCATATCTCTCCGGAAGAACTCAATCCCCCAGATCACGTAATTAGCGACTAATCTCGCATCTTAATTTTTGAGTAACTAATCAATATAACTAAGATGCATTGTTCGCGGCATTTAGCAAAAATTGTAAAGTTTTAGTGTCCTTTGAGGATATATCGAAAGTTACTTAGTATCTAATTGTACTCATTGTATGCAATTCATGATTAAATCGAGTCGGAAATTAACAGGTAACATTCAACTCTCTTCCGTTGACTTCACCAGCCATTTCAACAAAGAACTTTGAATGACCTAGCTAGATCACCAAGATTGAAACGTGATTCTTTGCGGGGGATAATGTTGCTCCATCGATGTTCTCATGATGGTCAATGGAAATCAGTTGCAATGAAAGCGAGGGAGCGTTTGTTCTCTTTTTGAAAAACGAGTTAATCGTAATACGTCAATTGATATCTGAACAATTTTCACCCTTCATTATTTGGTATCGGAGTCGTGTTTATTAACCATCATCGAGCATTTGAGCGTGATTACGTTAACTAATTTGCTATGCGATTCCAGAAGTTATTTCTCTTGCACTTTCGTCCCGCCTGAGTTCAGCATCGGAGTCAAAATTCCTTAGCTAAATCATCAACTTGAGGAACTCTTTCATGCTGAAAATTCACTGTCCATGGTGGCACATGAAGTCCAAGTGATTACAAAACCTAAAAACCAGTAGAGATCATTAGGTCCATGGTCAACCATAAGCAACTCCGCCAATTCAGTTCCCTCCACGGACTTGCCATGGGTCGCGATCACGGGCTAAAACCTTATTCTCTTGACCAGAAGGTGCAGTATTGCGTAGATTATCTGCATTATTGTTATGGATCGTTAGGAGGATGTAGTTTTCGAGACAAAAGTGGTTAGACATGGTAATGATTATATCTGGGATAAGGCCATACGTTTCTTCCTCGCAATTTACATGAACTATATTTATTTCCGAGCTAATGATCTTTAAAGCAAGTGATAATGCAGGTTTGTCGTGCTGTGGTCACTAGAATCTTTCGACTATTGGAGACGAAAGTGATTAGCCAGGGTGATGATTGTATCTGGTATTAGGTCATACGCTTCTTCCTCGAAATTTACACGAACTATATTTATTTATTTCTCGAGCTAATGATCTTTAAAGATATATCTCCCTAATGGACACAATAATAGAGAACCAACTGAATATGTATGTTTGTCGTACTGGTGGTCACTAGAATCTTTCGACTATTGTAAGGCTGCTGAATGTAAGTTAATCGGTTCAGTTACGTAATGTCTAAGCATTTTAGGTTATCGTGATATCATGAATCTATTCAATATTCTTATTTGGTCATGTCTAGTAACGGCTAGGGCTGTCAAAATAGGTCACGGAACCCATATTTTAACCTACATATATGAAAATGGGTCATAAATGAGTCACTCTAAGGCTCCGTTCGTTTGGCGGAAAATATTCTCCTTTTGGAAAATATTTTCCCGGAAGTCATTTTCCTGAAAAATGTTTTCCTGGAACACAATTTTCTGGTATTCGGCTAAAATCTGAAAAAGTTTCGAAAATATTTTCGGTCAAATCATTTTCGCTGAGGAAATTTCCTCCCCCAAAGTGAAGGCAAAATTGCCCATGGGAGGGAAAATGTTTTTCGTGGGAAGTTATTTTCCGCCCCCCGAACACTGGAAAATCCGGAAAATATTTTCCTGAAAAACATTTTCCGCCAAATGAACGGAGCCTAAATTAAGATATAGGTCATAAATGTATTTAAAAAAGAAAAGCCAAAATAAGATGGGTTTTATTGGGTCCTTTGCAAACTCATTTTCAATCCATTTGTGACCCTTGCTTTCAAAAACCACTGTCACCCTCACAATCTCTAAACCCGCCCGGTTCAAGCAGTTCAACAATGGAGATCAAACTATGACGGTAGTAACAGGCCAAATTTACAAAAAGTGAAAAATAAGAAAGACAATCAAGAACTAGAAACCTATCTACCTGAAGAGGCAAGTAAAGGTGAGGTGGATGCGAGGGTAAGCCCTAAGCGTGTATAGAGTGTTCTGGCGGGGCAACTCCTTGACGGTCTCAACGAAGAGATTTAGGCTCATGACGGCAGTAAGTACAGTGTCAACAGCATCGCTGAGAACGCCACCGTGAGGAATGGCTGTCGCATAATCGACCACCACCATCGCTAATTGCTTGTCCGTGCGAGGCATTCCGCAGTTTCGGGAAACAGACGGAGTCAACGGATTTTGATGTCTCTATGAAGACTCCGCGAGCGTCGTCTTCGTCGTCGTCGTCGTCATCGGAGAATCACGTTAGGGGCCGCCATCGAGGTCCGAAACCTTAGCCTTCTCAAGCTTGAACTTCTTCTATGGCTAGGGTTTTCATTTTATTTAGCAGATTTTTTTTTTGTTTATTTAATTTCGAAGAATTGTTGGACCTTTTTATTTGTTTTTCTCATGGGTTATATGGATGGGTTTGGGTTAGATCTGAATTGGATTGGGTATGGGTAAGTTAAATTGTTTAGTAAATAAACGAGTCAATGTGAATTAAATGAGTAGATGGATTTGGGCCAAACCCATTTATAACTCACCCAAACTCGACCCGACTCACTCATTTGCCATCTCTAGTCATGGCCATGAATCTCTATCGCCATTATGAAGGGAAGCCGACTTTTCTTCATATTTTTTTCAACAGGAGCGGAATCATCCGCCAATTAAATTCCGGTCCCCGTCTCTAGTATGGTACATATGTAACCCCCCGCCACCCAACCCCCTCAACAGATTGTTTTTGTTTGGCTACCCCTACATCACCCTACATCAACAGATTGAGGGTAGTTGAATTATAACAAGATTGATTCATTTTCTGTTTATTGCGTGTTTAATCAAAGAGGCAATTACTATGGATCAACACGATTGACGCAATTAAGAAGTGAGTGCTCACTCCAGCCACAGCCAAAATGCATGTTCGTCCCAGCCTTTTTCCATTGACGGCGACCGAGCAGAATCGGCCCATCAACTCATGGTGGGCCCCCATTTTTTTCCAATGAAGAAAGGCTTCAACAGCCACAGTAAGCCCATTACTCTTACTAGGCCCACCTCCATTAATCATCCTATCAATTGGACGAATCTATGCAAATAATTTCTTTCTTGAGCACTGGAAAGTCCGCCTGCTCGGGCCACCCCAAACCCGATAATTTCGCGAGGAAGAATGAAGTGTTATCGTAAAATAGGGCGAGACCGGACGGGACTCGATCAAGGACTTTTAGGCCCAGCAGGCTCGTTGAAGCCCGCTTGCCGATCGGTTCAAAATTGGCGGTAACAAAAGGTCCTTAGGGAATAATCATGCAGAATTCACGTGGAGGGACTTCTTTTTCTTGAAACACAAAAAGAACCTGCATTATTGCACACACAAGCCGAAAGAAACTTATACTTGTTTCTAGTATCGCCCATTCAATACATGTCTTAATCTGGCGTGTATGCCATGGTAACTTATTCACTGAATGACCATTGCGTTTTTTTCTTTTTTTTTGCTCAAATTCTCTTGCACCAAAATGAATAGTGCTAGTATTGATATTACAAACAACTCCTTCCAATTTGATAGTCCATAAGGAAAAATAAAAATGTCCAAGAAGAATATAGCATTGTACAAGGAATAGAATTAGAGCAAAGCGACATTGAGAAAAGAACATGTAGAAAGTTTCAGGAGGACCATAGGACTTCGATATCACTCAGGAATCTTGAAGGTGCTTGGGTCTTCGTCCTTGATCCAACCATACTTCTCCAAGAAAGGATTGACAATGGACTGTGGTGGGTAACTATTGATGCAATCACTCCACACATTACCATCCCCTAAATCTCTCACCACTTCCCATAGGCAACTGTTGCACTTAAATCCAGCACCAAAACTTATCATGAACACCTTGTCACCCTTTTTGAGCCTCTTCTTTGCTTCCATGTATCCAAGGACATACCACAAGCTACTCGCCGACGTGTTCCCGAACCTATGGAGCGTCATCCTTGCCGGCTCGAGATCATACTCGCTCAGTTCGAGGTTTACCCCGATGCCATCGATCACGGCCTTCCCACCTGTGTGTATGCAAAAGTGGTCCACCCCCGTCTTGAAGTTCAACACCGGCCTTGGCCCCGATCCTTTGGTCGAGTTCCGGTTCATCATTTTTCGGTACATAGAGACCGTCGCGAAGCGGACTAGCTCTCTGATCGGCAGTATCTTGGGGGAGATCTCCTTGAGATTGTCGATGCATGCCCGGGTCGCTGCCTTTGGGAGGGTCTTCCCGAGGTGGAACCCTAGGCAGCCTTGCGCGTCCTCCCTCTGGATGCAACAGTCGTACGACTCGTCCCTCGCCCCATGGTGGGTCCTCACCAAGCACTTGAGCTTGAACATGGCCCGATCAGCCAAGGCCCTGTTGTTTGATAACAGGATTGCGCACCCGCCGGACCGGAACAAGCAATTGGCAAGGATCATTGACCGGTCGTTGCCGGAGTACCAGTTAGGGCTCAAGGATTCCGATGTCACAACTAGGGCATACCTATTCTTGTGGGACTTAAAAACGTTCCTAACGATATCCACCGATATTAGGCTGGCGCTACACCCCATTCCAGTTAGATTAAACACTTTAATGTCCTCCCTCATTTTGTAGTGATTCACAATCCTAGCAGACAAAGAAGGGACTGCAGAGAGCATCGACACATTGACCACAAGCACATCAATTTGGGAGGGAGATAGGCCTGACCTCTCCAAGAGCTTGCCGATGCTATCACAGAAGAACTCTTCCATCTCGGAGATGCCGTCGTCCAGCGTCGGGTTGTCTTCGCGGCCTGAGAACATGATCCTCGGGCCATAGGTCTGTTCGCCAATGCCCGAGCTCACAATGGCTTTCAAGAGGAATTGGTACTCGAGGAGGCCAAGGTTCTTGGTCCTCTTGATGATCTCACCGCAGAACTCGGTGTCGAGCATCCGGTCGTCGGTTGGCTTGTAGCATTGGTAGTCTAGTATGTAGCACTCTCTGTCGCTCCTCTCATCAATCTTTCTCCATAAGATGTACAAGGAGAAGAAAATAGGGACCAGGTAGAGGATCAAGAGAAGCTCCATCTTCACTCGCACACGGGGAGAGAGAGAGAGAGAGATGCAAAAGGCCAAAGGAGAGAGAAGACGTACAACTTTGTCAGGTGAGAATTTAAAGGAAGCACTTAATGAGGAAGACGAGAGTGGAAAACATTGTGTGACTTTTGTCAGAATGACAAGAAATCAAAGTTTCTGTGAGAGGAAGGTGATCAACGGGCCAATGTGCTTCACATTAACCTCATCAAAGGTCACAGCTTTCTCGGGTGCTTCAAGAGCAATCTCGCGCAGACCAATTCTTGGACCTGATAGGCAAGAAAGCTTCCCCATATATAGAGAGAGAGAGAGCGAAACCCTAACGCACCCTCTTCTCCACTTGAAGAAAATAGAACACCAATGTGCATTAATTGGAGCCTTCACTAAGAAAGCATAATTGGAGTTCACCGATGATTTCCTTATAATAGTTCTTTTTTTTTTTGGGAGGAAAACAGTGTGGGTCAGCTTCCACACAATGCACAGTTCAAAATCAAATATAATTTAAATAGCAAAGCCATTATGGTTCACAGTTAGCAGCTTATCCAAAGGTGGTATCCTCATTAATCGGAAGATGAAGGTAGGTGTTGCAATTGCAAAGTTAGCTCCTCGTGCATTATTTTAGAGGACATAAAGTTGGGCAAAAGCAGCTGCGACTGCGATTTGCATGTTACCCAGAGTACCAGATGCTCTGGAAATTAGGCTCTGTATGTGGGCATACTCCAACTTTTCCTTTGATCACGATGCTGACTGATTGTACCTTATTGCGAAAGTAAATTACAGTAGATTTTGCATTGAGAATTTAAAGTAATATCCCCATTTAGGTCAATTAAAATTTGCAGTTGATTTCTAAGGGGAAAGGCTAAATAACAACAATATCCTTAAAAGAAACACGCAACTTGGTCTGATTGCTGCAAATGCACGGTTGAATGCGAGACTGGGTTTCACTGGGATTGAATTTAGCACTGAAGAGACAAGCAAGATTCTACAAACTAAATCTTCCTGCTACTTGATTCATTAGGTCAATTCAAGTGGGAACTTAGTTTGATAATATGCACGATCAAAATACTCATATCAACGCACTGAAGTGATCGAGGAGCTCCTACGAGCATCAAATGATGCTACCTGACGCCAAGGTTGGTTTCTGAAACCGACTTGCCTAATGAAGTGGCATATTATTATAAATTTCTGAACATACAACTTACTGTATTTGAATAGCTTATCACGTCGTTGTATCAATTGGTCCTTATATTCTAAGCCGCTCAAAGATTTGACGAGACCGTATGTTATGCACGAAACTTGGGTGTTCCCTAGCTTTCGAACAGAACTGATATTGATCTGATTATGCAAGTGGGATTCTTTTTTTTTTGGTCAAATGCAAGTGCGATTCGCTTGAATCAGGATTGGGCGTCGCGTGTACTGTGATCAGTCTGGGGTTTCAGTTCTTTCATTTGTCCTTTTCCTGGTTCAATGGGGTTTCCGTTGACAAAAAGCAGATTTTGTTGGCAAAATTGATTGACATCGACTCTCTGTCAAATTGAAGAATGATTCAGATTATGACAGACGGCTGACTGGCCAAGTCCACGGCTTGACTTGTCTGGTCAACGTATATAAATGTTCCTCCTGTACATTAATAGTTTGAGAGGTAGAAACTTCCCGTCTTTATACCCAACTTCCTTTGTGGGTCTCTCTCCCTTTCGTATTATTCTGTTTTCCTTCTCCCTTTCCATTTCAATATTTTGTGAGTTTATCTGAAAATACGTATCTTTGTCTTTATACGGGCCTGAATTAGTTGCCGCCCACTAGGTGGTGTCCATTCATTAGTGATTTTCATTGTGTATATGTAAGTCCCATCATATGGTATAATTTTTCAAAGCAAAAAAAAATAACTCCATCTCAAGGTTAAAACCTCACTTTTTTTTCTTTGCTCTATTCCTCCCGTTAGCTATCACCTTCGTCGGTTAGCCTTTTCGAGACGGATTGGAGGCGATGGCAGTAGCGGGAAGGAGATGGCACAGTGGCATGGGGTGGAGGATGAGAGAGAGAGAGGTGGGCAGAAGTCAAAATTATGGTTTTTTGATCCAGGTGAATATGCATCTAGACTTAAATTTCTAATCCAACTCAACCAATTAGGGACGGGCCAACAGCCAAACTTAATAAAAAGTTCTTAACGAAGCATGGATTAATATTTTATATATATGTACTTTTGTAAGGTGTGCGAGATTACGAATTTAAACTGGTCACGACACCAAATGACACGAATCCAGGATTAAATAGCTTCGACTTGAGTCAATGAATTTCAGATTATGTTATAAGTCATGTTTGTGTCCCAAATGGCTCAACACTATCAAAAACTAAAATTCTAACTATGTTAAAGCGAATTTATATCAATATAATAACAAATTAGCCTTTTATTAGATGTTAGATATGATTCACTTATTTAAGTATCATTTTGCTATTTATGGCATCACTTAATATATTGATCAAGTAAAGAATTCATCTCAGTCCGACCAACGAAACATGCTTGATCCTGCGACAAAATAAGAAAAAGTTAAAAACGATGCGACAAGATGTTAAATAAGACTAAAGTAGAAGCTTCACTATTTAATGTTGTCAAATACAGATGACCAGCGGTTAATTTCACCGGGGGGTGTACGCACGAATTACTAAAGCTCTTTCCCTTCCACAGGAAAATGGTAGGCTGCTCCTGGCCACAGAATCATAAGCGGGACCTCAATCAACGTCTCGAATGGAACTGAACAAGCTGAGCCCCAATCACATCATTCCATTAATGCAGAAACATAAACTCGTGGAAACGTAATCAATCCCACGGCTTTGCCATTTGCTCGTTCATGAACTAGTTGATTGTGCCTACACATATGTAGTATGTAATAATTCCATGTACTGGTATAATCAGCTGGTGAAGTTATTGCTAAATAAATGTCCGAGGGGCGCTGGCTAACAAATTAGGTGCCGAACAGGTGTCGGTTTCTCCCACTCTGAAACGCCTTCAGTGTATCGACCGGGCATTCGACTAGATATATTTCATGAAAAGAAAGTGTGCCGAGATTCATAACCTATATAATTAGTAAAACTCAGGTGACTTCGTTCTCAGATGCTTCTTAATAAGTGTGTGCTGCTGCATATCCCGGTTCTCTCGTGCTTCATTATTGCTCATGCATGCATGGAAACCTTCGGGGATTGACCCACTTGGCCAAACCCTACGTATAGGCACATCTTTCCGTCTTCGCTGTGATTGCTGCAAGTTCTTCGAATGTACGCAGAATTATGTCTCTAATGGCATCCTATCAGATCATACGCTGTTCTTGATAAGAATCGTGAAATCCGAGCTTCTTCTCCGAGTGGTCTCTACGCTTCTCAAGTCCAGTTGTTTCTTTATTAAAAGTGTGAGTGCATTCAATGAGGGAGGATCGCCCGAGAAACATCGAGTTAGGTAGGACGGCATAAATAAGACGGATCTGGGTGGATATCGCGTGACGATCTCCTGTCCACTTTGTCGACTAACTTGAAAATTCACGATCATGGAGTCAACTTTGCCCAGCTTTATATATCATTATGTCTCCTCCGTTGGCCGGCAAAGCAAAAGAAACTCTCATTTAATCCCTTATTCGTAGACGTATCGTCATCTCCGTATCAAGAAAAAGAATGCGTGAGGACCATTCATGACACATGAAAGAGGTTGTGTCAACTAACACCAGTAAAGTGCACGCCAACCACACAACCAAACGATGGCCATGCAAAGTCGAGAGATCGGCTTTGATCGGAGAATGCTTTGCCAAGATATAAGCGGAGCTGTATTACAATTAGGCTTCTAACCAGATTAATCACGCGATAAAAGATAGCGAGACTCGAGACCTACAAGAAAGATATATGTTCTTACACCGTGCGATTGGCTCTATCTACCGTATTATCCAAAACATAAGTCCGTGTAATAGTTTTCTATCGACATCTATTTTCTTGGCCTTCCGTTCCTTTAGTGTAGTTTGAGTCTCTTTTTTCCTCGTCAAGCAACAATCGAGCTACAGCTTAATGTACACGCTTGGCTTCCAAAGACAATAATCAGTGAGCTGGGCGAGCCTTCAAAGCATAAATAAGAGCTGCAAATTTTGTAGGGAACTTACATGGTTCACTACTAAACGATCTCTCTTTGTAAGTAGCCGGAAAAGTTGCTCGATGGGGTAGATCGAGCTCTGTAAGTAGCTCTTAGGTTTTCTACATCATAATAGATCAACCGAAATTCCAGAAATTACATCAAGTCTACTTCAAGACAGGATAAGAAACAAGCATACAAAATTAAATGATTTTGAGGTTTTATAGCAAACTTAACTTCGAGGTAGAAAATATTCTCGCACACTTTTTTCTGAACGAATTTCTCGAACGAACAGGATACTATTACTCCGTTCATGGGTGGGAAAATTATTTGACGCCTTGTGTTAGATCAACTAGGGTTTTTGTACTTTAGTTTAAATTCCAACTTAATTTTCGTACAATTCTGGTTGGTTCATCCGACTGAAATGACTTCTCCATTATACTTATACATACCCAATGACATTCAAAACGAACTGACCCTTCACTGGTAAAGTGGTAAAAGCAACTTTAACGCATTGGATTATGAACACCGACTGTTTCAAGCAGAATCGATGCATTTGCAGAAATTATAGTTAGAGTCGATGAATGGACGGCAACCATCGAATGGGACATATGCATGCTAGGACACGAGCTACTGATGCTTTGTCCATTGAAATCATCGCGTGAATGCATGGAAATAACTATGGAAACTTTCATGTGCACTCTAAGATGGGATTCAACCACCAAAACGGTTAATTAAAATGAATGGAATAGTGTGGTCACCTTAGTTTAATTTTCTTATGTCATGGTTATTAAATGAGGAATTGATATGGCCACCTCATTGTCATGTCAAATTAATTACATATGTATTTATTTATCTTCTCTCTGTTTTCTCTTTTTTGGTAAGCTTTCCCTCTTCTCCATCCTTCCCTTGTTGTTCCACTTTCCTCCAAAAGAATCAATCAAAAGTCGCCCAACAGCATTAACGTTCTAAGAATGCAATCTCAAATGATGTCACTGGATCGACTGAATTTTATTGTTCCATGTCCAAAAAAGTACTATTTTTTTGCGCTATCAAAAGAAAAATGACTTATGGGCTAGATTTTTTCCCTGTAGTTTGCAAATTATCAACTTTTTTACTAACTTACCAACTTTTATTTGCATAACTTACTAATACTTCAAACTTACTATTTCTTATAAGAAATGATAAATTAAAGTTGGCAAACGATAAGAAAGTTGGTAAACAAAAAGTATTATATAAACGTTGAAGTAACTTACATGAAAGTTGATAACCAAAAGGTTAGATGGTAATTTGGGGCGTGTTTGTTTCGCAGAAAATGAATATTTTGTAAAACATTTTTCTAAAAATGATTGCTTATATCACTTACAAAAATAAATGAACGAAAAAAAAAATTCATCATTTACAAAAACATTTAGACATAAATTGTTACCAATAGTGAAAATACTTTTCATTAGCTAATATTTCAAATGATATGAACGATCTTTTTTGGAAAAAAATTTTCGAATCATTTATTTTCCACGAAACAAATGCACCTTTAATGGAGAACTTGTTGGTAAATCATTTAGGTTAAGAATGGTAAATTCATATAACAGTCGGTAATTTTAAGCTGTTAATAAGAAAAGTAAATAAAAGTCAATAGCAGGTAAGACAAGTTAGTACTCTAAAAACTATCGAAAAGAACTGGTAATTTGCTAAACGTGTCGGTAAGTTATCAACAACTTACTAGAAAGTCAAATGGTTAATGTTTTTTTTTATTTGTACCAGCATTTTTTTGATAACTAACTCTTTCAGAAATATACCAATATAGAAAGCAACCTTTTTTCTTTGGGAAACAATACAGTGGAATCATCTGGTTTTGAATATCCAAACTAGACATCATAACCTTGAATAACAACTTTTAGTTCTTTTAATAGAGAAACGATTGTACACTATCAAAACTATTATAAGATAAAAGGAAGATAACTATTACATTGTTTGATTCGAAATGTCCTTCACAAATATCAGAGATTCATGTATCAATTGCAAACCTTCTTTGGCAACTAAGAGAGAGATAGAGAGACAGATGCAAGTTTACTATGGCAGGTCACATAACCATCGTTACTATCCCAACAAATGGTCGATGTAAAAACTTGATTGAACTAATGTAGAAATTTAATGGAAGTGATCTAGTTGAGAATTTTGAAATCATGATGCTAAAAATTGAGAATAGGTTTCAATGACAAGGAAGAATATGGGTAAGTGTTAAGATTAACAAATGTAACGTGAACATGTTGGGCCTGGTTTTCTTTGAGAGCCCATCCATCACGCAAAATGCAGAAGGCCCACATAAATGAGAACTACAAGCTCGTTGGCCCAGATACACGATAGATTCTCCAGTTTCTTCAGCCTCATAATTCCTGAAACCGAAAAGGACTGTATGATATATGCCCTGACATGCTTGCCTTGATCATACTCTGCGCGAATCGAATCAATCGCCACTAAGATGACAGACTCTTTACGGACATCACGCAATCTAACACCGAGCTCGTGGAATTGATATGACTTTCAAAGTAGAATATTTACATGCTGATTGGAAAGAGATCTTCGAGTTCGGCACCTCTAATGGATCCTTCAACAAATTTCCAGCATGAGTTAGATTAGATTGGCGGGGGCCTTCTTCGAACAATTGGCCTAATATCTAGAACAGTTCAACGAAATCAGGACAAAAAGATTGTACACTGGCTGATCCTTTATGCAGGAAGGCTCATTTGATTCGCTTATGTTTTGCGGATGTTTTGCTGATCTTTCTTAATGGTGATAAGCAGTCGATGCTTTCTTTATAATTTGTATTTGACAAGTTCAGGTATCTCTCTCTGGTCTCAAACTGAATCCTGCCAAGCCTGAGATCTATTTCTCTGGTGTTTCTGATGAGTTATCTCTTGAAATGTTGGATGTCTCACATTCTAAGGCTGGCCAACTCCCTGAGAGATCCTCGGAAGTCCCTTAAGCGACTAGAAAATTGACTGACAAGGCATGTAGGCCTTTGATTGACAGAATTATTGGAAAGTTCAAAACCTGGACTCCTAGGAAACTGTCTTTTGCCACTATCTGTCTTCCTAAAGAAAGGAGGATTGGGTCTTCAAAGGATCATTTGGTGGAATAAAACTTGTATTATGCTTTGTAATTGGCTAATTTTTGCTCGAGCTGGGTCTATAGGGGTTGCTTGGTTGAAAATTTACAGACAGCATGGCAAAATCATTTTAGACCCTGCCAATGTCAGTTGACTCGTCCTTCATTTGGAGGAAAATCTTGGTGCTTAGAGATTCTATCGAAACTTATAAAGCATATAATCGGGGATGCTAAAGGTTCCTTTCTTTGGCATGATAATCGCATCCATTAGGCCCTCTTCGCAATCAGTGAGATCCAAGCTAGCCCTTGTGATTTTCAGTAGCCTATTCCTCTGCTCCTGACAGAGTGCACTGGACTTTAACACCCATTGAGGCGTTTTCTGTTGTAAGTGCTTGGAATGAGCTTCGAGACAATGTCACGGGCTGATACTTGAAATCGAGACCGTGCAACAACTTAGGCTTCATTTGATTTGTTGGGTCGCCTAAGCTAATCCTTTTTTCCCAAGGATCGATCACTCGCTCACTAACTCAGCCATATCGTAGAGAGAGAAAGTGTTTAGAGAAAGAAGCTCTAGGAGAGAATGACTTATATTAATCAAGTGTTGGATGGTACAAATGAGGTGAAAAGCACACCTTTTTATTTATGAGGCATTCCAATTAAATGTTGATCGCCCCTTGATCAAGCCGTGGAGATCTACTCTCCCCAACTACTGTCTATACCCTATTAAATATAAGACTACTATCTACCCTATTAAACACAAGAAATATCTTGAATACAAATATACATTTCCCATACCATCCTTAAGAGTATTTTAGAATCCTCACAAAAAACCCTATAGCTCAAGACACTTCCAAGTCTTGCCGATCATCTAGGCTATCTCTTCGGTCGGTTGGGCCACGAAACCTCCGGCCCGTGCTGTGAGAGCCCTTGTGTCCTTCGGCATGTTTCTTATCTCGGTTCGCACTGCATAACAGGTTTGCAACAAAGTATAGAATGCTCAAGTGAAAAATCCAGGTTTCCCCAACTGCCGCTTTGAGGCTTCATCAGATTGATCATACACCCGGAGATTAGAATGCTCAAGTTGGTTATGTCCTCTTTCGAAAGGCAAATCTTTTGCCTCGAGTATCTTCCGTACCAACAGTTGTGATATTAGTAAGGAAGTGTGCATAGATTGATACACATAGATCTTCGTGTTGTAAAATTGGGGATTGAGCTGCTAGTACGGCTTGCTCTCTCACTTTTTTGATCTTTTTGTTAATGAAACCGGCTTATTGAAACAAACGAAAATGGGAAAAATAGGAAAATCGAGTAATTGATAAATCAAAGAATGACAATCTTTCAACTTCACAAACTACTATTCCATCTCTATACATCTCAAGCGTTCGTTTGTGTACATGTTAGAACCAAATGGATCAATGACTCCGCCCTTTGTTCGACGAGGGCGAGGAGTGCGAGGACGAATAGCTCCCCGAACCCTCGGACCCGTGAAACAGGTCGGAGAGGTAATTCCCCAGATCCTCGGGGGCAAATCTGACAATCCCCTCCCTGAACGTGTCCCTCCTCAGGGGCGCCCCGCGCGTGTCGTGAAGCTCGCGATATCTCGGCAGCAGCTTCTTCGCGAGCGACCCCTTCACCTCGTCCCTCAGCTTCGGGTCCGCCACGAGCCACCCGACCTGCTTCTTGTACGCCTCCTCGAACGCCGCGTTGAACCTCCGGAACGTGTCCTTCACCTGGCTCGTCGACATCTCCGCCACCGCCGGTTGAGCCTCCGGCAGCGAGGCCAGCACCTTGCTCCACGCCATCTTCTCGTAGTTGGCGGCGTACTGCCTGACCTTCGCCTCTTGCTTCGCCACCCAGTCCTCCCCGAGCAGGTACCTGAGCCCCGACTGCCGGACCTTGAAGACGACGTACTGGAGGTTGTTGGCCAGGAACAGGTACGACAGAGCCACGTCCTTGTACCGCTTGGCCTTCGCGTCGAGCTTGCACAGCACCAAGAGCACGAGCCACGTGAGCCGAGCCGAGAGCGGCGACGCGTCGGAGCCGAGGTCGGGGACGGCGGCCTCGACGGGCCAGTCGGCGACTATGTCGGTGAGGATCTCGCTGTAGTCGGCGAGGAAGGTGAGGTAGTTCATGACGTAGCGGGTGAGGGGGTGGACCCCGCCGCCGGGGATGGCGGCCTTGGAGGCATCCTTCTGGATGGCGGCCTCGAAGTCGGCGAGCATCACGCGCGCGGCGTCGCCGAGCTTCACTAGGGCGTTCACGGCCTGGGATCGGACGGCGGAGGAGGAGTCGTAGGAGAAGGTGGACTCGATGACGGGCCAGATGTTAGCGATTGCCTCGTACATGTCGAGCGCGCGGAACATCTTCTCGGGGGATGTTTTGCACGTCCCCACGCATTCCGCGAAACCAAACAGGGCGATCGCGTTCTCGTGCGTGATCTCGCCGAAGCAGGACTCTCTGATGGGGAGCGAAGAAGCGAAAACGTGGTCGCACAGGAGTCGCTCCCCGTGGAACACCGTGGTCACCGCGAATTTTACCGATGGCAGCCAGCACTTGATCTTCGTCTCCAGAACCTCCCAGTCCATCTTCTGGATCTGCGAGTGCGTCAGCGTCCGGTCTAGCCCGAGCCGGTACAGAGCCTCGTCCACGACCGACTTGCGGACGATCTTGTACACCTTGACGCACTCCTTGCCGTAGCCCGAAGAGATCATGCAATCGGCGATGGCCTTCAGATCCGCCATCACGGTTGACGAAGGCAGCGACATCCTCTCCGGTGTCCCCGACGACTCCGAGTCATCACCGCCGAAATTCAGGTCATCTTCCAATTCATCGTCGTAGCCCTCGGAGACACTCGAGGACCGGTTCGAGACCGACTCGGGGTCCAGATACTGGCGGTTGGTGGAGAGGATGAGGTAGAACTCCTTCTCGAGCCGCTTCATGGCGGTCTGCATGAGGGACTGGGCGCGGACGAGCTTGTCGGAGGCGGGGTCCTCCTTGATGAAGAAGTGCATGGCGGCCTGCAAGTCCTTGACGGACTTGAGGAACCGCTTGGACTCCTGGCGGCTGTCGCGGTAGAGGGAGGAGGAGGAGGAGGAGGAGGTCTGGTGGGAAGGGTCCCACTTGGCGATGAGGGACTCGGCGTTGTCGATGTTCTCGTCGACGAGGGACTCGGAGAAGGTGTGCCGCATGGGGGACGAAGCCGGGGTGAATCTGAGAGGGGAGCGGGAAGGCGAAGGCGAGGGCTTGAAGAAGGGAGTCCTCATGGTGGTTTCTGTTCTCGTCCTTGTTGTCGTAAGGCGATTGATTGCGTCAAGCTCAGGGGTCCGATTCTCGTTTCTGGGCAACAAATATTATTTCGGCAGGTCAGTGAAGTCCACCTTCTCTGGAAATCTGAATCTTCTCTCAAATGCAGAGAGAGAGAGAGAGAGAGAGAGAGAGAGAGAGAGAGAGAGAGAGAGAGAGAGAGAGAGAGAGAAGGGCTTGTGGGGCGTGGACTGCGGGATGGTTGAAGGGTGATGAGGAGGAGGTTTTTATAATGGGAAGGAGATGACGTAGCCACGTGAGAGTTCTGCGTGCTGGAGCGCTCTCTCTCTCTCTCTCTCTCTCTCTCTCTCTCTCTCTCTCTCTCCTGCTCCGAAAAGGTTGACCATGTCCGTCTGAACTTGTGGGACTGCAGGTAGGAGGTTGACAAGGAACGCGGTGTTAATAACTTGTGGTCTGACAAAACACCAGGTTTGTGAAAATTACGAAGTCAGAGCGACGAAGGTTTCTCAGGGCGGAGTCAACCTCCTACCTGCAGTCCCACAAGTTCAGACGGACATGGTCAATGAATTCTTGTGCGCATCCAGGAAGTACCCGAGGAGAAATTGCCCACTTTTTGTGGGAAAGACGAGAATTTAAGTTGCCTGCACAAAATGAACAATTTTCCAGGCAACATTGAAAAAGCATGGCGCGTCATAATTGGCCCTGTTGGCGAGATAAAGTTGCCAAGTTATGATAGGATTGATGATCACGATCCAATGTGTAATAGCTGTATTTACCATAAAAATCTTAGGCTATATTTAGCAACTATGATATGCTCTTCTCTATTTAAGAAGGATGAATCCCCCGAGAAGCTAAGAAATATGTGGATTTCTAGTATTCTACCGTGGATGTAGGCTTCCAAGGAACTACATAAAACCTTGGTTCATCTTTCATTCTCTTTGTATCTTTCATCTTCGTATTAACGCGCTATATGGTATCAGAGCACCATACCGTGTATGTATCATTCGAGTAAATTCCTTGAAGACCGTCAATACTTCACTTTTAAAGGTAAGCAAATAAAGCTAAGTAGTTCAAGATTTACCATCAATACTTCAATTTTGGCTGGAAATCGCTGACGTAGATGCCAACTGTACTATGTGGCAAATCTCGCCCCCGCCGGCCACTAGTGAGGGCGAGCCTCGCCCTTCCCTGGTGAAGCTCGACCTTGTAGTCACTAGGCGAGGTTAGCCTGGCCATAGCTAGGTGAGGCTGGCGAGGCCGACGTCGCCGGCCCTCGCCTCTGGTCAATTGTTGGCCATCGCCGAGGCTCGGCGACCGGCTAGAGGAAGAAGGGAAAAGAAAAACATAAAGAAAAGATAAAGAAAAAATAAGAAAAATAAGAAAAAATATTAAAATATTATTTAAAATTGTCCACGGCGGCGCCACATAAGATGGTTGTCGTCCACGTCAGCGATTTCCAGCCAAAATTGGCCGAATTGACTCAATTGGCGAAATGTGAAAATGTTTAGGATCCAGTTGGCACAGTTGAATTGGCAAAAGTGCAATATGTTTAGAATTTTTTTGGACAATTTTCCCTCCACGAGATAGATTGACCATCTCAACATCAGCTCTTCTAAAGATTATATATAAAAAAATATATATATATATATATATAAATGTTGTCATCTGCTTCCATCTCATTTCCTTGTCGCTTCTAAGCTAAGAAAATACCCATGAGGGCCTTTGATAAATTCCATTTGCCATAAACAATTGTACATTTATCTTTTACCAAGTAAAGCACACCATGCTGTCTCAGTTGTTGACTGCCCTAGGAATGTACCGAGATCCCTGCAATTTGCTTCTGTATCTCTAGGTCAAGACTACATATTTATCATTTTCTTTATGTCCGACTGTCGAATGACGTTAATGCACCAATGATTCTCGAACCTTTTCCTTTGCGAATACAAGGTTGCCAGCTTTGTCGTCATTTTCAATATGGATAGATTATGATTTCCATGCATTAAGGACGAGTCAATGTCATTGGAAGCTTTTGCGACTCGTTCCACTCAGTTCCGGCGCGGCCCTGGGGATATGATAATGCTTTTTATCTTCTTGTTCTTGTGTGCGCATAATATTAAGAATCGCCTGTTAGGTTTCGAGTTCGTCGATGCTGCGTCCCAAATCGAAATCCAGGAGATACACTGATTGCAAAAGTTCGTCGGGTCCACGAGTTTTAGAATACAGGGTCAGGTTTTTGGATGCATTTCTAACTTTCCCCTAATACTATACCGAATGTCACGTTACTAAATTTGTGTCGCTGAATGTCGCCGAGTGTATATACTCACATCATTCATAAATTACAAGAAATAAACACCAGCGTTTATTCAACCATCCGAGGTATGCGTATTTTGTGCACGTAACATCCATTGTAGGTAAACCAATGACATCGTATTGGTAGAGTTTTATCGGGTTACATCTAACTATTTTGAGGAAACTCTCAACAATAGACCATAAATAGATTGAAAGCATGATTACCCTGTTAAAAAAATTTAAGCTGTTAGATAAATACGACAATGGACGCTAAACGGTTTTTGTTAGGACATTTTGACCCTTTCCACGATGCATAAGGACATAGTCTGCACTGTTTCGGACATAATCTATGCCTCTATGTTGAAAATACTAATTTAACGCGTAAAGGGTTGTCTTCATGTTCGCCGATGCTCCTCCGTAGACAAACCGAAAGTGCGCCAAAGACTTGGTGAGCTAATTCTTTCAGCTGATTAATTAAGTAATTAGTCTTTAATTGGTAATTTGTCCGTGGAATTGAACCTCCTTTTGGCTTCAAGCTGTTGGAGCCTTTCAAAATGACCTGGTCATCGGTCGAATTAGACATAGTGATACAAATGAAAAACTAGCTCGTAGGAGAGGGTGGCATGCAGATTCTCGGACCCTGCAATGGCCTAATTATTATCCCAAATCATCATACCGTTTCCTTTTACCGGTCCAGGTTTAGGACTAAATCGAAAAATTATTAAATATGTTTAGAACTAAATTGACCGAATTGAAAGATTTAAGTGCAATAGATGTATGACTTTTTTGGTAATTTTCCATGATTTAAACTTGTGGTGCATTAGTGAGCCACTAGCGTGCCACAAATCAAGAAGTCTCTCCCAAAAATGATCACAAATTCTAAAGATACAAGTTAGCCGTTGGTTCGCTCATGACATGGCTTGAACTTGCCGCCCCACAGAAGTCGAGCAACTTCTTTATCCCCGAGCTACCATTCTTAGTGGGTTTTTAATTAGCGAAGAAGCCGTTTAAGTTCCAACCTATCATCGCCGTCCAATTTATGGGTCGAAAGATCACTTAAGATGACGACAACGATGTCGTATTAGACAGCAATGGCCTAAATCTGGCCTCTTTATCATGAGCTAATCATGTTTAGCTTTTGGCGTACAAGTTGGTGAAAAGTCAATTTATCTATAATGAGGTTTACGAATTTTATGCTTCACCACATGAAATTTGTTTACGCAAAGGCTTCTCTATCTCCTAGTTAGGTCGCCCGCCACTTGATATTGACGTGGAAGAAATGATGCTTCGACTTCGACAAAAGTTATAGTTCGATGACTCTTTTAGGTAAAAACCAGAGAGCCCCATGCACTTGGGTTTTCTTTCAATGTCAATCAATACAAAGTTAACTTACGACTGGCAATTCAAATCTGAACTGTTGAAAAGTAACAAGGAATTAGCAAAACTATTGGACTTTTTCCCATGATTGCTTGCAATTTTAGAACTACTAATCAAAGGCTGGTATTTCTGGTGGGGTTGAAATACGGAGTTGTCAAAGAATACTATTATTTGATAAAAGGAGAAATACTTGCACGCGACCCATGTCTTAATGATTACTTTTTGCCAGTTCATCGGACGTTTGTCGTAACCAATTGTACCTTGCAAGTCGCGAGTCCTATGAGTTAGAGTTGCATTTTTGTACAATTTTAAAACATTATACAGTTGCAGAAAAATTATCCAAAAAGTCATAAATATATTGCACTTATATCAATTTAGTCATAAATCTTTTAATTATGCCGATTGAGTCTATCCGGCCAATTTTAGCTGGAAATCGCTGACGTCGACGCCGGCCATCCTTCTTGGCGCAGCCGGTACTGGCATGAAAATTATTTTAATATTTTTTTTCTTTTTCTTTCTTTTTTTCTTTTCTTCCCTTCTTCCTCTAGCCGGTCGGGGGGTGATGAACGGCCAAAGGCGAGGGCTGGTGTGGCTTGCCCTCACCAATGGCGCCAATGGCCGGCGAGGGTGAGCTTTGCTAGAGTCTAGCAAAGTCAACTTGGCCGGTCAGAGGAAGAAGGGAAGAAAAAAAAAAGAAAGAGAAAGAAAAGAAAAAAAATTAAAAAGTTCGAAAAAATATTATTAATAATTGTCCACTTTAGCACTGGCGGCGCCACGTAGGATGGTCTGCATCCACATTAGTGATTTCCGGCCAAAATTGGTCGGATTGACAAAACGTGAAAATGTTTAGCACTCAATTGACACAATAGAAAGATTTAGGACCGAATTGGCAAAAGCACAATAGGCTTAGGAATTTTTAGACAATGTTCTCCACAAAATAATGAGAAGAAGTTTAGAAAAAACATAGTACGATGCTAAATTGACTACAAGGATGGCTTCGTAGTTTCCCAAGATATCCAAGGTTGGCATTGTTACAATGCTAAGTAGAGTCTTGTTCTTCTTGTGTAATGGAGCAGGGAATTCGATGGAGTTCACATGGCATATTCTCTTGGGTTTTTGGAAAGTTCCTTGAGCACTAGTATAGGACTATGGGGAGTACCGTCCAACCTTGGAGGATGAAATAAATTATTTCTTCTTCTTTTGCTAATAGAGGATGAAATGTTAGATTATTTTTATATTAGAAGATAGAATTTTAATGCCCTTAGCATCGAGAATTAAGTAAACATTCTAATTTTTGTTGGCTCTGTTGGACATTTTACGTTTTGATACGCCAGCGACCGGAGGCAAATCCACCGGCCACCGTGTTGTTGTTGACTTATCGCACGCTTACTTTGGAGTCTGGACTTATCTATTTCTAGCTTTGCTTCTCCCCCCATTAGACCAAATCTGAAGTTCCTTTTTTGTTAGGATAAATTGCTCAAAACCCCTAGAACTTTGGCAACGTTGCGTAATTGCTCCGGGACTTTGAAAAAGTTACATGTCATGCGGT